TATAATAATAATAATAATAATAATAATAATAATAATAATAATAATAACAATAATAATAATTGCTTACACTTAGACCGCAGGGTGAGCGACCCCTGCTGGCCCCACTAACACCACTTCCAGCAGCAACCTTGTTTTCCCATGAGTCTCGCACCCAGGAACTGACCAGGCTCACACCTGCTGAGCTGCGGTGGGCTGCCAGTTGTGAGTTGCAGGGTGATATGGGTGAAGGTTTCCTCCAGGAGACATGCTGGCAGAGTTAACCGAGGTCTGTGTCTTGTCCAGTGTGTGCCCTGTGCTGGACTGGCGTCGTCCGGCCTGGCACACAGGGACCCACTTATTAAACATGGATTTAAGATAAAAACACATGGAATTTGATAAGGAATGTTTATGTCTGTTTTCTAATGAAGAACTGTCATGAACAACTGTATTCTATAAACATTTTTAGGTCACTGGATACATTTACAGTTCCAAGTTTGTGGTAAACATCTGCAATTATACCTACACCTAAAGAAAAAAACCTGACGAATTAAAAGATTTCCCGCCCAGTAGCACTAACTTCAGTCGCAACTAAATATTTTGAACAAATCTTCTTGTTCCATCTTTATATGGCAACCGATACACTCAAGGCCCCTGGAGGCTTGCGTTGTGGGTGAAACAGGGAGAGTGGAAGATGCGACAGTGACCTTGTTAAATCAAGACTGCCACCATTTAGAAACTCACTCGTCCTATGTCCACATACTCATTGCTGACTGTTCGTCAGCATTTAACTCTATTCAGGAAAACAGGTTAATAGGGGAGCGTTCGCATGTGGGAGTACGTCATACACTCTCGCAAGGGATTTCGGATTTTCTTCTTGATCTATGACAGTATGTGCAAGTGAGCGTGAGGGAGTCTCTCACTGGCATCACCAGCACGCAGATACCCCAAAGCTGTGTGCTGCACCCACTGCTTTTCACATTGTACACTAGTGATTGTGCAAGCCACTATGACAACTGTTCGATTGTTATGCTGCGGATGATGTCGCCTTGATTGGACTTTTGAATCATGGCGAACAAAATTACAGACAGGAGATAAATCCCTTTTTTTAGAATCGGTGTCAGGATAATTCTGTTTCTAAGCACAAAGGAACAAAAGAAACGCTAATTGATTTTAGAAAGACATGTAGCTGATGATGGATCCGATATTGAAACAGTAAATGAATATACACATGTCGGCACTATTATGAATTGTAAATTGACTTGGACTGCCAATCCGGAGGCAAGGTATTTAAAAGTGCAACAAAGGTTGTATTTTTTAAGGAAGGTAAGGATTTCCAATGTAGAAAACACAATGTTGACACTTTCTTATAAGATTTTAATTCAGAGCACTGTAAGTTTTTGTATTTGGAGCTGGAAAGGCACCTTGTAATAAGCTGAACAAAGTCATCAGGACTGGTGGCAAAATGACGAACGTTTCCTCGGACTCAATAACATGTCTACGGGAGCAACACATTATTAATCTTGAACAGAAAATCTTTGATGACCCCTTTCATCCGCTTTGGTTAGAATATACTCTCCTAACCTCTGGCAGACCCCCTGTATAATGACTAAGAGAGCACTTACTTCATTTATACCACAAAGCAATTAGCTGATGAACAATGAGAAAATGTTTGCAGGGATATAGTTGTTGTTGTTGTTATTGTTGCTGTTGTTGCTGCTGTTGCTGTTGTTGTATTGCATTATTGTTGTACAGGATTTTGAGCTCATGATGTGCAAGACAAAGTCCCTTAGGGACAGTTAAGGTTACTTTAATTCAATATTTTAAACTGCATACACAGTATTCTCACTGATACCCTTCACTCCTAGCTCCGGCCCCGCTGTCCAGTCCAGGAAATAAAGAAGGAGGAAATCGGGGAGCTGTCTTAGGGACACTGTCTGCACTCTTACCATGCAACAGAAAGACTTTGCTCTCTCCCTCACACACACACGAACACAGGAGGTAATTAAGAAAACAGTTTTTATGTACGTGTGCTACGTCCTTAACCTCTACCGATTGTGCACAATGAGAAATTAATCGCAGGATATCAGCTGAAAATGCCAGCAACGTTGTTTCATCTGCTGTGACATCTCTGTCCCTCTGCAGCGCAGGGACCTTCTGACAGCTCGATCCAGATAGCAGCCCGCTGCTTTGTTCCCAGGCTTCGGATTCTCGCCGCTGCCTCTGTTATCTGGCTCTCTCAAATGTCAGCACGTGCACGTGCTCGCTACGCCACACCAGGGCCACTCCGCCCGGAGAGCTGGCTGCCACGCACCCCTGCCCCACTCCTGCACCTCAGAGCAGAGAGAGACAGAGGTGTGCTGAAATACTGAGCTGCAGTATCGATACACAGAACGGTCCCGTTACAAAAGGGGCTACAG